CCCCCCCCCCCTTTTTGCTCTGCAAAGCATTACGAAAACGACAGGGAGTTAGCCAAAATCCTCTAAATTGTGGCTGAAAGAATCTCCACTGGCTGTTCTTCCCACAAAGTTGCGACATGGGTGGCTGATTAGATTAAAAAGGGGAATCGCCTTCCCCCTCCCCCCCCTCCTAGCAAAGAATCTCCTCACGATGTAGACATTAAGGTTTTACCAACTTAGCAACGTAGCTACGTTCAAACATCAAGAACGTTGCTTTCGATTTGTTCCTCAGCTCCGTCACACATGATCAAGCTATGATGGGCAACGACGCACTTCCCTAAGCCCAGGAAACCCAATTTTCACCTTGTGCCCACATCACTAAGGTGTCCATAATGTTGTGCGAGCTCCAGACAAAGGACAGGGTGAAGTCGTAGAGATTTTCTTCTCGATGGTAATGTGATCAGATCTTTACCAAATTTGCACACTTTTCTGTCGTTTCGCAGTGATAATCAAACCCCTTGAATAAGAAAAAAAAATGATTAGGAGGAGAATCCTTTTTAGGTTTCACGATGGGAACGGAGAACAAAGGCGTAAATAAATAAAAGTTATGTCCCAAGTGCGTTGGAGGTGTGATGTTAGGCTTTGGATTTCCTACGAAAGACTCAAGCGACCATGAATTTTGCAGAAGGCACATATATGAGCCATCAAAACTATAAAAGCGAGTACCTCTGCCTTTCGCCCTCATAAATGCTCAGATCGCAACCCCAGCTTCCCATGCCGTGCAGCAGCCATTACTGTAGGCAACTTAAGTGACCACTGCTCACAGCTAACTCGTCACTGATGACGATAACGCAATGCACTCACGCCTCATTAAGTACGCAGACGTGCTCTCATGACTGGCCGAATGAACATCGTTTACCGCATGGATCGATACCGGTGAAGCTAAGCCAGTCAGGCACCCCCCCCTCCCCTCCTCCACTTTAAGATGGAGAGCATAGCCGCAATGAATTAAAGCTTCGCTACAGGGTCATTAGGCTTTCAAAGTCACCCTTAAATGCCTCTCTTAGGATTAGTAAGAGCAACGGCAGCTTACGCTCGCGCGTCGATTGCAGAACAATGAGTGTGGCGACAAAGGGAGACGTGTTTCTATTGCTTCTTCTACACTGTACTTTAAAGTCTAACGATTGTCAAGTGAAGGTAGTGAAGGGCCAGGGAAAATGGCTTTCATGATGCCAAATGAGCTTTACGAGAATCAGACAATGCCGTTTGGCCTCTATAACGTCGAGGCAATCTTTCACCTGCCGACGTAAAGACGATGTTGAGAAGAGCAACCCTAAGCTCTGGTCATCGTGAGTGTTGGAATGTGAAAGGCATAGAAGTGGAGGGTGGATGGATGCTCGTATGCAATAGGAAGTGACAAGGGGATTGGAAGACTACCCATCCCCTCTCCCTCCCCTGCTCTTTTGACTGATTCAGTGGTCCAACTAACTGATCCACTAACTTGTAATGAGGAGTGGTTTTCATGCTACTACTGCACTTCGCTTCCAGAAGACTTCGTGCGACTACTGTGTCGGTGGTGAACAGTGGACACACCCTTGAAGAAAACACGTAGACGTGGGCAGTTCCTCCCTCGTGAGTTTGTCGGTTCAGTCACGCACAATGAATTCTGGAGGTGCATCGAGGGTTCGAAGTCTACTAACTGGTTTTGGTCAACTGACACCTTTGCAAATGACTCAAAAGTAATGTTAGGTGTGGTGTTTATTGACTGATGTTTGCTTGTTTTCAATGCTATCATTTGAGACCTGGAAGGGCATCATGGTAGTGGTTTCTCACGACCAAGCCTTTCTCAATGCCATCGCAACGGACATAATCCATCTCGTTGCGAATCGTCTGGACGCCTACCGTGGCGACTACGACGCCTTCGTGAAGGCTCGTGAGGAGAGGCTGCTTAATGAGGAGCGCGAGTACCTGGCACAGAAGGCTGAACGCGACCACATCCAGGTTAGGTGGCTGAATTTACAATCCTTTTGTGTCCTTCTTTCTCCCCCCATACTTCAACAAAGCTGCTGTTCAGTTTGGGTGGGTGTGCTTCCATTGTTGGGTGGATTAATCCACGCTCCTTCCAGTAGAATCCTTT